GAGGCAACAGCTCTTTCCAAATCAACAGGGACAAATCAGCCGTTTTCATCAGAGAACTGTGGCCTCAGATTCAGAGTTACAGGCACTAATTCCAGTCACTTCATACTCAGCTGAAAAGTGCTCCAGTCCATCTTAAAGGTCACATTTTGATAAAACCAACCAAAAAACAAGAACCTGAGTTTGCACTCTCTAAAATAAATATATATTCCTTGAGATTCTGTCTATGGTAATCACAAGAATGATGGCAGACAGGGGGCAACCCTCTCAGAGTCCAACACCCACTGAAAATATCTTTGACTACCTGCCAAGGACACAGAATGGCAAAAACAGTTCTGGAAATGTGGGAGGTATAGAGGTAGGTCAAGCTGGTCCTTTTATAACTCCACTTTCTACTGGAAAGAACATTTTAAACGTTTTAACAACCAAGCACACATAAGAGACAATGACATGCAAAAACAAACTGCTCTTGACACGACACAGATTTATTATGACTACCTCTCTCCCCGCCATTGTTCACTTTCTATTAGCTGCTCATGGCGTGCGTGTCCATTGTGAAGGGTTGCTCGTCATAAAAGACTGGTGCTATCTGTGCAACTTAATACTACTGTTGTGACTCTCAGCCGTTGTTCATCTCTTACAAAAGACACTCATGATCTTGTCTCCTTTGTTGTTGGAAAGTAGCAGTTGTCAAGCAGGCCCGAGACAAGCGTAGCTGTAGAGACGGGGATTAGACATGTAAACTTACTGTACACACAAACAAGCTCATTGTCCACTGTTTAGACATAACGCCTTTATAAAATATAATAATTATACAGACAAATGCAAACATCTATGCTGAACCAAAAAAGTTACATCTATTTTACTTCATGTACAAATTGAGCTAGACAACATGTTTTTGGCATAATTGGACAAATAATCCATAAGAACCTTTCCTATGAATTAATTTTTTCTGTTAACTGGACTCTTGTACTTCCTCTTGGTCCTCTTTTTAGATTTGAGAAGATCTTGCCTGTGATAGAAGACTCTGACCAATCACAAGGCTAGATCAAGTGAACAGTGAAAAAGTCTGCATATGAAAAAAGATGCAGTTAAGCAAATAAATTTTATCTGGTTACTAGAGCTTCAAATACAAGGTGAACCAAAAAGTTTGCACTGATTTCCTTTTAGAGCTTATAAAGTGTGTGCATATGCTAATCTGATGGGAAGGGCTACAAAAACAGAGGGGAGAGACACATGATGACAGCCTATTCTGAATTTCTGCCTGTAGATTTCCTAGTTAAAAGTCAGTTAAAAAAAGTAAAAGCTACCAAAGGTAATTGCATGAGTTATTGAATGCAGAGCACCTAATCTTGAATGCAGTGCATGTATAAGCTAGTTTCTAATGTAACAGTTATTCTGTACCTACAAGTCTTTGTTATTTCTGGCTCTGCATTTCTTTATTTCTACTTTTTGGTTTGCAAGACCTTACTCCATTTACATCTTTAGATATTAGCTTTTGGTCACAGCAGCTTTAAATCAGTACCCTTCAATGAAATTGCCTCAGTTTGCCCAGATCAAGCACATTCATGTGGCACTTTCACATTCCAATGTCAAAAGTTTCAACTTTTCACATGTAAATGTGCAGTGAGGACTGCTCGCCAACTGCTGAGTCTGAAATTGAGAAAGCATCCAATTTTATACAGACGTGTTCTACTGACTAGGAAGCACCATGAGTAGAGTTTTCTCATTTGTAACAATTTGCCTCAAACTAAACTGGCGACATCCAATGACGAACCCTGCACAACCTGCAAGCCACCATTTCAATGAGCTTGGAATGAATTTCACAGGGAGATTTTTTTTTGCAATGACCAGGCACTTTAAAGAGTATGGGTAGGTTGTGTTACTGCTTCTTTTTGTATTTGCTCAGTCTGGGTTTTTCTTGGTGTAACAGCTTGCGTAAACATTGTTGCAACTTACTTTTAAAAAGCTTCCCTATCTGCAACACATAAACCTGTTTTTTTCTACTTTACGTAGAAGGCATGACTGAGTAAAAACGAAGAGGAAAATTGAGTCAGTGTTGTGGGTAGTGGCGCACTACTGAGTTCAATTGTTTGTTGGCTTTTCTGTATCCTAGAAGGGAACTATCAGTGTCTGTCATCTGTGGCTCAGCGCTGTCAGCCCTACAGGACCACAGCCACATATGGAGGTAAGCCCATTTGAGACTTATTAAAGCTAGACAAGTACAGCATCCCCCGACTAGCTGCTTCGTAAAAAAAAGTGTGTTCCTCTCTGCGTGGTGTCCAGCCTGACTTAGTTTGCCACATAACACACACCAGAGCAAGTAAACTGCTTTGACAAGTACACGCAGAGACCCAACTCACCAGACATTAATACACAGGCATAGACACATACTCCTCCTATTCCTCTCATTGGGACTGTGTGTGCTGTATCTTGCTGGATCTCAGTGTGAGTCTCAGTGTGTGAGTGTCTTTTTTCCTCATCTTTTTTTTTTTTTCTTTCCAGGCATCCATCTCTGCATCTCGGCCTTGCCATCTGTTCTCCATGCTGTGGAACATGGCGCTCCCTCTGGCTGCAGGCGTTTTCACATGGTGGCAAAAATTGTCAATTGTGGAGTTTTTAAAAAAAGGGAAAAAAAGCTGAGGACAGAAATTGTTTAGGATGTGGTCTAAAATGCCGCAATTCAGACGTGTGTAAGGAGTGTGTGTAAACATGTCTAGTTTTGATCTTGTTTGAAAGGTGTGGATTATTTATATATACGTCTTTGCATATTACTTTGGAAGAAATAGCAGTTTTATCTTTCCTTTTTTTGCACTATATTTAAATAGTTTAACAGTTGCTACACTAATTGGCAATTACTGGACCTACTGCAAGCAGGGTTCCCATAGTAAAGTTTTTCCATTTTAAAAGCTGGAAGTGGCAGTAATTTTGTTTGGTTGAGTGCGTATTTTTGTTTTTATCATCTGTCTACCTGCTGATTATCCTATTAACAGAGCTTGCCACCTGCTAAAGTTGGACATAATCAGCAGTAGAACCACATGAAAAGTTGCCTTCTGACTGAAGGAGAACTTTTTGAAATGCAAATATAGTTTGAGATTTTTTTTTTTTAAACATTTCCAAAGCAAAGACAGGCATGAGAAGTTTCTCCTAACGTCATATTTACGACTCAATTTCTCCACCACTAATCTGGCTTTAGAGCAGCAGCTTGGGGTTAAGAAAAGCAGCTTTCTCCCCAACATCTTTCTGCCAGGAGGAACCAGAGGGGTTCCTCAGCCAGGTGGCATTTATTATCACTCTAGTGTGTTTTGCACACGACTCATGAGATGTCTCAAATGACATATCCAAGAAGCATCCTGATCCGAACCCCAAGCCATCTTAACTGGATCCTTTGAGCTCCTCACCCTCTGGCAAAGGAAAATTCCAGGCATCCAGCAAAGAAAGCTGATGTTTTTCATTTTTGAGTGTTTCTACTGATCTAAAGCCACAGCTTACTAACACCAACACAGCAATACACCACGAATCGCTGGCTGATGTTATCCTGACTCATTAACAAGACTTCTGATGTATTTGCAATAACAACCTGCTCCAAAAACAATCCCAAATAATTTGTCTTCAGAGAGCCACAGACAGAGAAACTAAGTCACAGATGGCTGGAAAGCAGCCTTACTAAATAAATGTTGGAGATCAATATCTGAGGGCAACACATCAATATCACCAGCAAGAAGCATGAATGCTTTCTTGAAGTTAAAACGCCATCTCTTAGTAAACAAAAGAAGAATCATGACAAGGTACAATCTGTTTCTTGTATGCTCATAAATTGAACTTGTAATTAAGGCCTCAGTCACACAAGGCAAGGGGCTGGTTGTCCTGGCAACCTCTGGTTGCTAGGGAAAAATGTATATTCCCCAACTTGTTGGTGAGTGGCCGCTGTCAGCCCCCGAATGAAATTGGTCACAAAGAGGCCACAGCACCCAAAGCTTCCTTGTCATGGCTTTGGTCGTTAACAGACTGGTGCAGCTGCCCATAGCTTGTATAGAAGATGTCACGATGTTTGCAAATACTTGCCAACTACTAGCTGGGCAGAAGGCAATGCTAAACAGTGTGTTGCAGTTTTCACAGGTTTGTGACTGCTCGGTTAGTAGTAAGTGTTTGTGGGCGAGTTGGTGCCTTCCATGGAAGTTTGGGCGACTATGGCAATCTGCTGGTGATTAAAGTTATTACAAGGAGGTCTCCTTTGCCACCAAATCCACCTTGTGACTGCCCGGAATCATTTTCCAATTATTTGAAGAATATACAGGCCACCCTCCCAGCCTGTGATTGGGGTCTCTGAATAGTCTCCAGGCCTGCATCACTGGGGCTTTTACAATCAATCTCACCCTAACTTCAATCTCTAGCAACCACTTGCCAGTCTGTCACATTTTTGTACACATTTTTCCCTACCGGTGGTTGCTAGATGTTGACCTACTGTTCCCTCTCTGGTGCCTAACTGACTTAAAATTTCAAAAGCCATGTGACAAACACAACATAGGTAAACAAGTTTGAACATATACACAAATAGGAACTAACACTATATACACGCCACTGACTCTACACTTTACAAATGAAATTCTTCATTTTGCCAGACAAAAAAACCCCCCAGTCTAACAGATCGAATCACCAGAGAATGCAGAGAAGAGCTATTGGATAGATCTAATAAAGTAAATGGGTTCACTAAAGCTCCAGGGGAAAACAACACCTGGGAATTAGGGAACTTCTCAAGCTTTAGTTCAGTGTGGACGCGAGGAAATTATGCACATACAAGCATACACAAAAGGGCAGATGCACAAACAAGGACACAGTCATACACCCATGTTCTCACAGACACACAATTGTGCACACAGTCTCATACACACAATCACGCTGGAGGTCTGCTGTGCCTCCCAGAACTCCCATCTGTTGAACCAGCAGTCCAGGTTGGTCTTAATGAGAAATAATGAGCCTTCACTAAATAACAACAGCTTGGATGGATTTCACCTCCACTTCAGATTTTATTAGAATGCCATGGAGAGTAGTTCATTCTTCAAGCTACACAATGTATTTGTTGTAGTTCAAAAGACATTTTGACATTTAATTTCCTTTTTTTTTTTTTTTTTTTTTTTTGAGAGTACAAAGGAAACTTGAAGCTAAATGACTGTTGGCACATTTTCATCATCTACATCTTGTTATAAGGAATGTATAAGGAAAGCAAGCATTAATTTACTAGAGGGTGGAGAAAACGTTATTAAACAAACTTGTTCAAGTACAACTCATACTGATGAATTTGGGGTAATTTCCCGCTATAAAATCCAGGCTCTGAGTAATGAGTGCAAAAAGGAGTTCAAAAGGGAACTCATTTCTTCAAACTTGACATATTTCTCAAATAAATCAGAGCACAAAATTTAATTGCTAGGCCTCTAACAGCTGCATGGCTGTCAGCAAAAACACCATTAACATATAGTTCGTGTGCTTGAGTGTGTCTGTGTGTGTGTGTGTGTGTGGCTGTACAAAGTCCAAAAGGCATCATGTCAGGGAATCCAGCTGTCCTTGGACGATTTCGAGCTGAAAGAAAGAGGGGAAATGATGAGTTTTTGGAGCGAATGTGTGCACAAAAGAATGACACAAAGAAGGAGAGGAAGTCTGAAAGAGATATTTAAAAAGATCGAAGTATGAAGGAGTGCAAAATGCAACATGGATACTTGGCACAAAAACACGAAGATGATGTGGCATGAAAGTGGCACGGACACACACACGAAACATAACGAAACAAACCTTGTTGTACAAATCAAGCAGTTGCTGGTGGTTAAACTCAACGAAGACATTTTCCTGAACCTGGAGAGACAGAGAGAGAAACGAGGTTAGAGACAAGCAGAGAGGCATGACATTTATGGGAGGAAACAATCGAAAAAGTAAGAAAAGTTCAGAAATATACAAAAGCAGCAGCGATGAGGAGAAGCAGCGGCGATGAAAGCACATAGGTAAGAGGCATGACGCAGATTTCTCGAGCTGGCTTCTTGCGCTTTCTATAAAAGCCTTCATCAATTATTACTGGTCTCTGACCAGTATGCACCGTCTTTTAAGTCTTATCCATCAGTTGTTTAAAAATACACAGAAGAAAAAAAAGCTGTCCACCATCTTGCACAGGGAAAACCCATCACTCTGTCTCCATTCTGTTGGCTTACTTTTAAAACTTGTAGACTTCTGTCACCGTGTCACCAACCGTAGTACAAAACTACACACGACTCAATAATACAGGACACTGCTTCTTCTACACTGTCAAGCATATAAACCATCATCCGCTTTCTATATTAGAATTAAATAAAGCAAATACTCTTTTTTCAGTTTATTCTTTAACAGTGTTTTTTTTTCCATTTCATAAAACAAAAAATATCAAGTAATATAGATTTGAAACACCATGAATGCAATCATGTGATAGTTTAATGAAATTAGTCCTGTTCAAGAAACATTTGCATATGCATGGTGTGACTTTTAGAGCTAAAAACATTTCGATTCATTTGTCTACATTTTTGCTTTTACCAGCAGACAGGTGTAGTGTAATGTCACAAACAGCGGGTCACCCAGGGGAAGCTCATACAGCACACTGACGTGAGGTTAGCACACTGCAGACATTCAAGAAAGAAATGTGTGATTTGAGTAATGGGGAGCCTGTGCCACAGTAGATCTTTATGTCTAACAATGCCTCTGGCTCCTGTTATAGACTCAGGAGTGAAGTCATGTTAATGATGGATCACGAAAGTTAGAGGAGCTTTTGTTTTTTTATACATTAAATGATGCATTTTTCATCTGTGAAGCTGGAATATGAAACTAAGATACATGAACAGTCCAAGTTTGCCTTTAGTTTCATAAAGTTTATTACTTTATGTGCTAATTCTTAGGTTAACACTGGAGCCTTTTTTCTCTGCAGACTCTGTAGAAAACTATACAGAACCAAGGGCAACCATCACTGAACTACCGTCATCATTATCCCATCAGAAACTCAGACTCAACGATAATCCACCTATGTGAGCAGGCGTAATGGGGAGACACTTGATCAACGCCCATCACAGAGAAAATGAGAACAGCAGTTTTGTAGCCAACTAAAGTGCATTTATTGATGTTACCCTAAATGTACCAAACTCTGATCCAAGAAGGATAGCAGACAGGAGGGAAAAGACAGAATGAACAAGATAGACATGAAGGGAAAAAAAGGAATTAAATAAGTTCATGCTGAAAGGCAGTAAAACTAAATGTGGGTTTTCTGATTGTACACTCCCATCTAAAGCTCCACTCCCAGCAGTTCGGTGCTTGGAGACTAAACGGAGCTTGGGGGCTTGAAGCTAACTGGCTGGCTGGTTGGGTGGGTGGAGGGAGGCCATGTGTCATGGTAAATTAATGACAGAGATATTAATTAGAAGCTACATTAAAAGTCCATAAAAGAGAGAACAGAGGGCTGTTATCTCTTGTCAAAGCTCCCACTCGACAGCAGCTTCACAACACAAGGAAAATGTAGGACAGCCTTGAATTTAGCTACAGCTGAGGGAGCGCTGCAAGGACAGCCCAGCAGGTACTGAAACAACTAAATAAAGTGTTGTTACTGAGCGAGATAAAATGAAAAGAAGATGCACATCAAAGAAGATCTACGAGGTGATAAATCATTTCTCAGAGGAAAGACAGTTGCCGTTAGGAAATGATTTGATTTGAAGGAAAAAATTGTGCATGCAGTGAAATTAGTTGAATGATGAACACGTTTTGCTTCCAGTAGCATTAATCAGCCTCAATTCACGCAACTCCCTCCCATTGATCTCCACTGTGGCAAACACTATTATAATGAGCAGACTCCTGTGCTGCATAATAACTTATCTCGGTTAACAGTCTTTAAGTGTGCTCGGGTCACAGCAGCACCAGGAGACTTGGTGGAAAAGCAGAAATAAACACTTGTCAGCTGGCTGAGCTGCCTATTGTTTTCTGACAGAGGTAAGACAAGGGACAGCCAAAATGACGGTTGTATGTGTGTGACTGTGATCAAAACTAACCTATGAGAAAAAGCGTACAACAAACCGCAGTAACGCTTGGTGTCTTCATGTGAGACTGACACTGTGTTCTGATAAGATTTTCAAAAGACTGCTGTGTGTGTGTGTGTGTGTGTGTGTGTGTGTGTGTGTGTGTGTGTGTGTGTGTGTGTGTTTTATCTTGGAAAACGCATTCCTAAATGTGTATGTGTATGTCAGTGTGTGTTTGGCCCATCAAATTGTTCCTCAGGGTTGAGATTTTGCCAGGCAGTAACCCAACAAGGCTCTGACAGATCTGGGCTAACACTAATGGGGATAGGATGCATCATCCTTGTCATCACAGCCCTGTACAGCCCTAAAGTAGGCGCACGCACGCACACAGATATACATAAACGTTTCATCTGTCGTAGTGCTAAAAAACAGAAAACAGGATAAACCCATTAACATAATCACAGATTCACTTGCATCTGGTGTTCCATATGCACTACATGTTAAACCGTATATAGGCTAGACACTGAGGGAAACCCAAAGCATGAGGGAGAATGAACAAGCAAAGGCGTAAATTAGCAAATAAATGACCTATAAAGTCATAAAATAAATCAACAAAACTCCTTGAAATATATCCTTGAAATGTAGGACAAACTTTTCTTCTCTCAGTGCTAAAAGCTCTCAACAATGTCACTGGTACAATTCTCAAGATGAGTCAACAAAGTCACAGAGGATAAAGACTCTTTGGGGATTACAGCATAACTCACCATGAGGACACCCTGTTAATTCTTTAGTCTCTGGACACTTGAAGCAAAATTACAACATGCACATGATTTCCACAGCTCTGGCCTTCAGTGCTATCAGTAATAACAATGTTATGTCAGTTTCTCCAATCTGGATGTGTTGTTCGATAGCAGAGAAACAAAGACAGTGAGATATTAAATGGATGCACATTATAGGAAATGTTATTTAGAAGGGAAAAAAAGGTACCATTAACGAGGAAACTGACTGTAATGTCAATGTAACATCATTATGTAATAAATGGTTACTGATATTCTGGCTGTGTTCACTTGAACTTTTACTTTTAAATCGTGGTAGACAACCTGTCTAATTGGCAGCTTTAAAAACTGGACCCCAAACATCCACCAGATTCACCAAATTTTTTATTGCACAAAAATTGGGTTAAAATTCTGTTGTGATTATTATTATTTTCGTTATTTCATTTTTTATATATGCCTTTTATCCCCAGGACTGCCTTTTAATTCTTACAGGTACTGGAAACATTCCTCAGAGATTTTAGTCCATATGGACATGATAGCATCACACAGTTGCTGCAGATTTGTCAGCTTCACATCTATGATGCAAATCTCTCATTCCATCACATCTCACAGGCGCTCTTCTGACATCTGATGACTATGGGGGCTATTTGAATACAGCGAACTCACTGTCATGTACACGAAACCAGTTTAAAATGATTTTGAAGCTTTGTGACATGACACGTTATCCTGCTGGCAGCAGCCATCAGAAAATGGGTACACTGTGGTCATGAAGGGACATGATCAGAAACAGCAGTCAGGTAGGCTGTGGTGTTTAAACGATGCTCGGTTGGTACTAAAGGGCCAAAAGTGTACCGAGGAAATATCCCCTACATCATTACACTAACACCTGGCCAAACTGCAGGTACAGAGCAGGATGGATGCATGCTTTGGTTGTTGCTGTTTTTGGCAGATTCTGACCCTACCCCAGCAGAAATAAAGACTCATAAGACCACACACTGTTTTTCCAACCTTCTACTGGTCAGTTTTGGCGAGCCTAGGTGAACTGTATAACAATTTCCATTTCTTAGCTGACAACAATAGCACCCTTGAAGCAAACGAGCTCTAGTTGCTGCTATAGCCCATTTGCTTCAAGGTTCAACTGTTGTATTCAGAGATGCTCTTTCCCCTACTTTGTTTTGCAACAAGTGGTTATCTGAGTTATATCAGCTCGAAGAAGTATAGCCATTTTTCTCTGTTCCTCTTCGGCAATACAACCCTTTCTCTGAGAGATCTGCCACTCGCTGAAAATTTTCTCTTTTACCGTTTTCCCCTTCTGATGCTGGATTAGATATAAGCTATTTGTATTAAGGATAAACTGTGGCTGTTGCTCAGGAGGCAGAGCAGGTCATCTACTAATCGGAAGGTTGGCGTTTCGTTCCCTGGCTGATCCAGTCTGCATGCTAAATATCCTTGGGCATGATACTGTGAATGTGTGCAAATGTTAGACAGAAAGCACTTAAGCACAAAAAGGGCTTATATGAATGCATGAATGGGGTATGTTGTATAAAGAGCTTTGAGTCTTCGAGTAGAAATATATAAGAACCAGTTGCACAAGTGTACCTAATGAAGTGGCTGGTGAGTGTATGTAGTTTTCAGAGATGGATTTCTATGAACTTGCCACATACATTTGTTGCACCCAGGTGAGGAAACCTAGTATCTCCAGTCATCCCCTGACTTTGTATCCAGAGCTGCAAACACCAAATCTTTAAATCTTTCACAAATACACTGAAATATTTCAAAATTAGATGTTGGAATTCATCTCTTTTTCCACCAGCATGACATTTGTGATTCATAGTGCAGGTCTGGATGAACCTTAGATAAACTTCTTAGGGTGACCCGACTTTACTGGTCCATTGACTTTCCATCGAGTGTCACAATCAGGTCAAATAAATATCGGCATATTTGTATGACAGGTGTGTTTTCTTTATGACCTCAGAGAGTCACGAGTGTGAATGCAGACTCTGTCTTGTTCTAGTACAACCTGTTTACTCTTGGCCTTCTGAGTTTTTTGGGGTTT